CTTAAAATCCTTTAATATCTTCTCATTGCTCTCAGAATATAATCCAAATGCCTCATGATGACCTCATGGTCTGCCTAATACCAAGATGAAAAAGTAGCTTTTATTTTACCTTCAGAAATGGTTTCTTCAAAGAAGTGTGGGATCAATTCTTATTTAGAAATCTCTGCTTGAAGAAAGTTGATTTACTGTTTCAACTCATGGAATATTATTTTGGTAAAAGTACCAAAATATATCAAAATGAAACAGTTTCTTTGGAAAACACAGAAATCAAACATGATGATTTGATTTTACCAAATAGCAAAAAATTAAGGTGGAGAATAAGAGGAGAGGATGAAAGAAAAAATAACAATCCATTGGTGGTCCAGTGTATCACATTGAAATGACAAAAGGATACAATTAGACCTGAAAGAGAAGTCTACATTTGGAGCTGTGGAGAGTATATAACCCAGCTGTTCTCTAACTTCACAGGGACCGGAGAACAGAGGAAATAAGTTACCCTGAGGTAGGAGGTATAAGCTGGAAGATTAGACATGAAATCAAACTCCCTCAGAATCAGCATTGGTAAGTATTACTTAATACTTACATACAGTACTTAGCTAAAAAGTACTTTTGCTTATTTTGCTTCATTTATACCTGAAGACCTTGGGGTCTAGTGAGGTTCAGCGGATAGTAATTAGTTTTCATTCTGACATTAGGTAACTTGAGAATCCACACGATCCATGAGTCTGAAGCCTTCCCATAGTGAATTGCCATTATTTGTATTTTTAAAACAAATAGCCGTCAAGCAGCTGCCTCCTACGATGGAAGCAGGCTGAAAAATAAAGCCTACCAAAGATGCGAAATAAAATGCAAACATCACTAAAATCAGTTCCTGTTTTTAAATAATGTGGCTACAGCCCCAGAATACCAAAGGCAGCACAGGAATACCTAAGAAAGGCATTTGGTGCAGTTGTGGGCACCAGTAAGATTGACTTTAATCTCCCTGGAAGTGATATTCAGTATTAACTGCGGTTTGTCAATGCCCTGTCCCTCAGGGCATAATGTTGTGCAGTAGTGTAGTATAGTGTAGTGTAGTTTTCTGGCACCTGACTACCGCAAAGCCTTCTTCTTTGGCCCCCTGTAATGGGAGGTGTACAGGAAGAAGAGCAGCTGGGTCCTGGTATTCCTGGAATTTCTCTTCAGTGGACTGCCAGTGTACAGGTATCACAACGTGGCACATGGCTGTACTCAAGATGAGACTCCTTCTGAGAAAATGAAATCTAGCAGAAGTGGTACAGAAGACAGAAAATCCTTCTAACGTGTGCCTCCCAAACTGCCTTCTCTCCCTCTGTTCCCTTCACCAGGAGTGTCCTCTCCATCTTCTCTGCCTTCTCCACACCCTGCCTATCCTTCAGATTCCAACTCATCACACTTCCCTATAAAGCTTTCAAAGTATACAACCCCCAGTGATCTCTTTCTTTAATAAACATATATCTCAATCAGAATTTATTCTCTCTGCATCGCTGACACATCACACACAGACTGCACTATCCCAGTGAACTGTACCATAATTCAAGCCGGAAACCTACTCGTAATCCTTGTCCTGCCTTTTATTTCTCCATACATTCACCAATCACAAAGTTTGATCAGTCTTCCTCTGGAATATCTCTTAAATATCATATCCAGCCGCAACCCATCCCCCTACATCAACTACCTTCATTTGTTTGGTCTCTCTCTAATTTATCTTGCCCAAATCTCCCATTCCTACATATTGTCCGCAATGTAATTAGAGTGGTCTTAATAAAAGGCAAATCAGATCATGTCACTCTTCTGGATAAAGTATTTCAGTGATTCCCTCTGTTTTGGTGATATGGGTATCAATTTCTTTACATAGTTCACAAGGCTCTGCAAAATCTGGCCCATGATTATCTCTAGTCTAGCTTCATCTCTTGCCATTTCCCCAAATCATGCTCGCTTCCAGACTTTTGTAAATTCCCCCAAGCCGTGCCTGAACACTCTTCTCCCTACACTTTTACTGGCTAACATTTACATATTCTTCCTATCTCAGCTTAGATACATCCTCAAAAATCCTTCCGGGACCTCCATATACCAATATAGATATTCATTATATGTGATACCACTGTATCCTATATTACCATCATTTTCTAGAGACAGAGCTCTTATCTGTAAACAGTGAAATCAACTCTAGTTCATCAAAGCGGCAAACAAAATTTTTAAATATTAGGTAGCTAACAGAATCTCTGGGATCACTAAAGAATGAGACCTGGGGATCACCAGGCCAGTGATAATGCTCCAGGCTTCACTGTGGAATGGCTCCACACTACAGCTGCCTTGGAGGAGTGGAGACAACACTGATGCTAAGCACTGGGTGCTACCACTAGGACCTCTGGCCCTGCCTCTTATTGATGGAGCTCAGGTCACATTCCTGAATCCTCACTGCAAGGCATGCTGGGACAGTAGGGTTTTGTCATCTATCTTGAGGAGTGCTCAGATTAATTGTTTTATAGGTTTGTTGAGGAGCTTGAGGGTGACTAGCCATAACCACTTATTAATTTTTTATATCAGTTTTTTAAATATTTCTTTTTTTTAACATCTTTATTGGAGTATAATTGCTTTACAATGGTGTGTTAGTTTCTGCTTTATAACAAAGTGAATCAGCTATACATATACATATATCTGCATATCCCCTCCCTCTTGTGTCTCCCTCCTACCCTCCCCATCCCTCCCCTCTAGGTGGTCACAAAGCACCGAGCTGATCTCCCTGTGCTATGTGGCTGCTTCCCACTAACTATCTATTTCATATTTGGTAGTGTATATATGGCCATGCCACTCTCTCACTTTGTCCCAGGTTACCCTTCCCCCTCTCCATGTCCTCAAGTCCATTCTCTACCTCTGCATCTTTATTCCTGCCCTGCCCCTAGGTTTTTCAGAACTTTTTTTTTTTTTTTAGATTCCATATATATGTGTTAGCATACAGTATTTGTTTTTCTCTTTCTGGCTTAGTTTACTCTGTATGACAGACTCTAGGTCCATCCACCTCACTACAAATAACTCAATTTCGTTTCTTTTTATGGCTAATATTCCATTGTATATATGTGCCACATCTTCTTTATCCATTCATCTGTCGGTGGACACTTAGGTTGCTTCCATGTCCTGGCTATTGTAAATGGAGCTGCAATGAAAATTTTGGTACATGACTCTTTTTGAATTATGGTTTTCTCAGGGTATATGCCCAGTAGTGGGATTGCTGGGTTGTATGGTAGTTCTATTTTTAGTTTTTTAAGGAACCTCCATATTGTTCTCCATAGTGCCTGTAACAATTTACATTCCCGCCAACAGTGCAAGAGGGTTCCCTTTTCTCCACACCCTCTCCAGCATTATTGTTTGTAGATTTTTTTGATGATGGCCATTCTGACTGGTGTGAGATGATACCTCATTGTAGTTTTAATTTGCATTTCTCTAATGATTAGTGATGTTGAGCATTCTTTCATGTGTTTGTTGGCAATCTGTATATCTTCTTTGGAGAAATGTCTATTTAGGTCTTCTGCCCATTTTTGGATTGGGTTGTTTGTTTTTCTTGATATTGAGCTGCATGAGCTGCTTGTATATTTTGGAGGTTAATCCTTTGTCAGTTGCTTCATTTGCAAATATTTTCTCCCATTCTGAGGGTTGTCTTTTCGTCTTGCTTATGGTTTCCTTTGCTCTGCAAAAGCTTTTAAATTTCATTATGTCCCATTTGTTTATTTTTGTTTTTATTTTCATTTCTCTAGGAGGTGGGTCAAAAAGGATCTTGCTGTGATTTATGTCATAGAGTGTTCTGCCTATGTTTTCCTCTAAGAGTTTTATAGTGTCTGGCCTTACATTTAGGTTTTTAATCCATTTTGAGTTTATTTTTGTGTATGGTGTTATGGAGTGTTCTAATTTCATTCTTTTACATGTAGCTGTCCAGTTTCAGCAGCACCACTTATTGAAGAGGCTGTCTTTTCTCCATTGTATATTCTTGCCTCCTTTATCAAAGATAAGGTGACCATATGTGCATGGGTTTATCTCTGGGCTTTCTATCCTGTTCCATTAATCTATATTTCTGTGTGTGCCAGTACCATACTGTCTTGATCACTGTATATTTGTAGTATAGTCTGAAGTCAGGGAGCCTGATTCCTCCAGCTCCGTTTTTCTTTCTCAAGATTGCTTTGGCTATTTTGGGTCTTTTGTGTTTCCATACAAATTGTGAAATTTTTTGTTCTAGTTCTGTGAAAAATACCAGTGGTAGTTTGATAGAGATTGCATTGAATCTGTAGATTGCTTTAGGTAGTATAGTCATTTTCACAATGTTGATTCTTCCAATCCAAGGACATCGTATATCTCTCCATCTGTATCATCTTTAATTTCTTTCATCAGTGTCTTATAGTTTTCTGCATACAGGTCTTTTGTCTCCTTAGGTAGATTTATTCTTAGGTATTTTATTCTTTCTGTTGCAGTGGTAAATGGGAGTGTTTGCTTAATTTCACTTTCAGATTTTTCATCATTAGTGTATAGGAATGCAAGAGATTTCTGTGCATTAATTTTGTACCCTGCTACTTTACCGAATTCATTGATTAGCTCTAGTAGTTTTCTGGTAGCATCTTTAGGATTCTCTATGTATGGTATCATGTCATCTGCAAACAGTGATAGTTTTACTTCTTCTTTTCAATTTGGATTCCTTTTATTTCTTTTTCTTCTCTGTTTGCCATGGCTATAACTTCTAAAACTATGTTGAATAATAGTGGTGAGAGTGGGCAACCTTGTCTTGTTCCTGATCTTAGTGGAAATGGTTTCAGTTTTTCACCATTGAGAATGATGTTGGCTCTGCGTTTGTCATATATGGCCTTTATCTTGTTGAGGTAAGTTCCCTCTATGCCTATTTTCTGGGGGGGGGGGGGGGTTATCACAAATAGGTGCTGAATTTTGTCGAAAGCTTTTTCTGCATCTACTGAGATGATCATATTGTTTTTCTCCTTCAATTTGTTAATATGGTATATCATATTGATTGATTTGTGTATAGTGACGAATCCTTGCATTCCTGGGATGAAGCCCACTTGATCATGGTGAGTTTCTAAAAAAGTGTTAAAGTTGTCAGCTGGTATAGTAAGTATCTTGTCTGTTTCATGGGGACTCCTTTGGTCAGTACCATGTCTGTGCTGGCAAACAACTGAGGCTAAATAAAGGAGTGTGGAAATATGAATGAAATAGTGCTATTTACTATCTGAGTGCAGCACACATACCAATGAACAGGAAGGTGATGTGGAGATCAGGAAGGCATTAGTAACAAGCAAAGATATGAAAGGGGTTCATCTGCAGCAAATCAAAAGAACATAACTGAAGTCCTCAGCCTGGTCGGAATTGGGCCCTGAATGGAGCCTATAAGGTGACCAGAGAGAGTTAGACGTGCTACAATATGCTTCCATAACACTCTATACTTCTCCAATCATAGCACTTATAAAATTTTATTGAAGAGTTTGTTAGTTTCTTGTTATTCTTGCAGAGTTACAAGATGTGTGAAGACAGAGATGGCTCATCCATGCCTGCTCCATAGACAATGTGTAATAGATATTTTTAAAAATAAGTAAGTGAATGAATAAATGAATGGGGGTAAAGATGAGGGCACAGAAGTGGAAGAGAGAGGTAGGCACCAGAGAATGTTGCCTGGTTCCAGTGGGGTGACCTGGATCAGCACAGGCCTGATGCTAGCCACTCCCACACAACTCCTTTCTTTCTAATCCACTTCTCATTCTCTTTGGGAAGGATTGAGGTCTCTGGAAAATAGCCAAAAAACAATTAAGGGAGCGGCCAGCCCAAATTAATGCTCAAGCCTCAGGAGTATCTGAGCACTGAAAGCCACTTCTATTCACGTTCTCTCAGATCAAGGGGTGAGAAAGGGTTCCCAAAGCCATAACTCTTTTTAGGTGGATTTAGAAGGCATATAAAGGCCCCTGGCTGAGGACTTGCCTCCTCATTCCACAACTGGTGCCAGCACTCTCAATCCTCCACTGAGAGAAAATGTCCATCCAGTAAGTATCTCTGGGAGATTATTTTTTTAATTCCTTAGTGTGTTGATGGTAAATGGTCTATTTCAAGAGCTCCTGAAGAGGATTGATGACCCCTTTAGGGAAGGCCTTGGCTCATGGTTGGGGAGTTTATTCCTATTTTATGTATTGAAGCAAATATCTAGAATTCAGGTCTAAATTACAGTGGGGTTTGTGTGGCTTGGAATGGGCCTTGGAAGTAGTAGTGAGCATGAAGATTTCAATAAGGCAGACCTGGGTTCCACTTCTTGCCCAGCCATTTCCTAGCTGTGTGATTTTGGGCAAATTACTTTTTGAAGTCTTGGCTTTTCCGTATATAGAATGAGTAGTACTTACCCCCATTATGGTGTTGTGAGTTTTAAATGAACGAATAGCATACAAAGTCCTTTTAAAAGTATGTGGCACATGGTAAGTCCTTAATAAAAAATAACTATCATAATTAGGCAGTCTGGTCAGCTCTCACTCTAAGAAGTTATAAAATGGAGCCAAAGTGAGAAGGGAGAAAATAATCAAAAACATAAGACCTAAATCTCCTTGTCTGACTATATTTAAAATGTACTGTAGCTCTTGGAGACTGGTGATGAAGTGAGATGATGGGAAGAAGTGATGGTATAATATGGGTGAATAACAAAGGATGACAAATTGATCCCCAAACCTGTGGTCTCCCAGTGCATAAGAGAGAGAGGAATGAGACTCTCTGGAAGGCAAGAGAATAAATGATGCAGTAAAAGCTGAGGGCAGGGACAGGGCAGGCTAATTCTGTAGGAAGGACTCGGTCAGGAAGAGAAGTGACAATAGCGGGATGTTTTGACTTGTCTTCAGAAATATGGGAAAACTGCAGAGGGCAAGCAAGTCCACTGTGGCATTAAAAGGGAGGTCATTTTCTCCTTTATCAAAGGAGGAGCACTGACCTGGGCCCCTTTGCCAACCTGATACATTTCTACCACCACACCACACCAAAACACTGTGTGCTCCCAGCCCAGGCTAGACTGGCAGTATGCACCACCATTGAGCAGAGAGCATCTTTTCTCCTGGAGCTCTGCCTCTATCTCCGTGGACTTCCTGAGATTCCACATGAGATTCTTCCTCATTATTCCACCATTTCAGAGTCGAACATCCTGCTGGTGGTTACAAGAAACTGTTTGAAACTGTGGAGGAACTGTCCTCACCGCTCACAGCTCATGTTACAGGTTGGTCTCACCTATCTTGAAGCCATCTTCTCTTTTCTGTCTCAATCTCTCTTCTCTGTCTCCTTATTCATTGGCATCTCTCAGAACGGGCTCCCTCTGTGGGCTACAGAGAGAGGAATCTGGACATTTGGGCTTTTTATGCTAAGAACCCATTTCCTCTTTTCTTTACTTCTCTAATATAGAAAAATGCTACCTAACTGGAATTCCTTAACAACTGGGACTATACCTTTGTCATCTTTAAGGTGTCAGTGCCTAGCTCAGTGCCTGGCACATAGAAAATGTCCTGTAAATGTCTGTTCTATCAGTTGCAGAATAAATGAAGGCCTGGTGACAAGCATCTGGGAATATGACAATAAAGGGTGGTAGGTTTCATGCCCATTATATCAGAAGTCTTGGTTCTGGAGTCAGGCAGATGTAGGTGCTAATTGTAGCTCTATTATTTTACTATCTGTGAATCCTTCAACAAGTTATTTAAACTTTCTGAGTCTCAATTCATTCACCTACCATAAACCAAATTTTACCTCATCGAGATGTTGTGAAGATTAAATGAGATAATGTAAATCGAAAGATTCACACAGTATCCAACACAAAGTTATCCATAGATGGTTGTTATTATTACTACTGCTATCATTATCCAAAGTCACCACATGACCCACATAGCATCCTTGCTTAGACATGGTGTTATAGGAAGGTCCAAAGCCTGGGCAGGTCTCTTTCCTCCCAATTGTCTCTTATGCAAAATAGAAGGAATGAGCCCGGTGCTCTTTCTCAACTAGATTCTGATGCTAACAATCTAGGTTCTAGCAATCAAATTAATGCTGTGCCTTTTAGTTAAGTCACGCCTTCTTTTCAAATTTTTATCAGAAATATACATCCTTGTAAAGTGGGCTGCTGAAATTGAGCTATATGAAATAATACATTTGTGTTTTTTTTAATAGCAAGGATTATAAAAACACTGCCAAATGCTGCACTTTTCAAAGGATCAAAGGGCACAAACCTAACTGTTTAGACTGAACAGACTTAAGGCCTTTCTTGTGTGCCCCTCATTTTGCAGAGAAGGACACGGAGGCCTAGAGATGGCACATAGCAAATCCTGAACCAGAATTCAGGTCTCTGACAGCCCTTTGCACTTTCTGCTATAGCAGGTTGACCTTTATCTGGACAGTAGCCCATATTCTCAAAGGAATATAGGTCTATATTTTAAGAAGCCAGTATTCTTGTTGTTTCATTTAAACGGTTTGTTCTGTAGACACATCTTTGTTTAGTATCTAGATCCCTGCTTCTAATCCATCCCTCCTATATATCAAGAAATTTGAAATTTTTCTTAAAAGTGAGACAGTAAAAAGGCAAATGTATTGGTAGCTGGGGAAATCTGTTAGATGGAGAATCCCATTCCATTCGAGATACTTTTCCCTGTCTCCTTCCAACCCTTTATCTAAACTCTGAGATGTTGCCACATTTCCTACCACTTGGTCTCCTAGTGAAAGGAGAGTAGGCCAGCAGGCATTTCCTGAGAGCTACCCGCCATGAGAACTGGGAATGGAAATGACTGCCAGCTTTAAAAGTAAGAGGCTGCCCAATCGGGCTGCTTAGATAATCACTGCTCTTTACCTGGGTGAGAAGGGCAGGGGTAAGAAGCAATGTTCTGAGTCTTGCCTTCATCACAGGCAGGATCCCCCTCTGGTTGACCGGCAGTCTCCTTCGATGTGGGCCAGGACTCTTTGAAGTTGGATCTGAGCCATTTTACCACCTGTTTGATGGGCAAGCTCTCCTGCACAAGTTTGACTTTAAAGAAGGACACGTCACATACCACAGAAGGTAAAGAACACTAGGGCCCACTCCTCCTAGGGTTCGGACCTATCTCAGCTCCTCCCTCCAGGTACTTTTCAACCTCCTGAACCCAAGAGGAGACTTTTATACTCGCCTCCACTCAGAATCCTCCTGGGCCAGTGAGTCTGTATGGACACCTCGGAGATGTACTATGGGATAAAGAAGCAGCTATTGGGGTCTGACACGCCTGGCTTCAAATCCCATATGCCCTACATACCATTTGCCTAGGTGGGTGCCCTTTGGCAAGATGTTAGTCTCTAATTCTTTGTTTTGTCATCTATAAAAATGGGAGAAATAAGAGAATTTACTAAAGGGTTTATTACAAGGATTAAATGAGAACATGGTTCCTAGCCCATAGGAAGCATTTAATAATAATAATAGTTATTATTATTAAACCATGGGTCTCTTGATATCTTTCCTTTTTTATAATCAGAAAGGCCAATGGGAAGGAGGGAGGGGTGTTACAAAGGAGGCAAGGACCAAATATGTCTTAATAATACAAGAAAGAGAAGTTTTCTAAAAACAGAAGATTGTTGCTAAAAGGCTTGAAGCCCTAAGCCATCACTGCAATTTCATTACAAAGATTCATTAACACCACAATAAATAGTTTGTCTTATGCCTTAATATTCAGGCCTGTTAGCAGCTTTGTTGATCACCACAGATTTCAGGCATTCTGAAGAGACATCAAAAGAAAGAATAAATGGAGTCTTGCAGTAGTCAGGATAACTTGGACTGTAATAGAAGAGAAACAGATCAGGTCAAGCAGAAATTTAGTTATGAAAGCATATTTTGGAGGTCAGGCAAAGCCTTTATATGCCTCCTAAAGACCTTGGTACTTTTTCCTCTTTATGAAAGTGCAAAATCAGATTTTAATTGGCTCTCCACATGAGAAATCCTAGGCAACGTATGCCATCTAGTCTGGGAGATATGGTTCAGGAGGTCTGCCTGTGCAAGAGACCAGATTCAAGAATATCTACTTTTAAAAGTAGCAAAATAAATTTTTAAATTGAAGAAAAACATAAGAGGGACATGAGGAAGATTGAAAGGAATATAATTCAGCATAACATATTCTATACTTCCCCGCTCAGTGTAGATTGTTGAATTATAGGCTACAGGAAGTCAGAGGTCCAATGTGAACTACCCATGGGGCTGCATAGTGTGATATGGAACAGGCATGTTTTCTGGCTCTGGCCACATATGCTGATCACTTAATTTCTCTGAACCTTGATTTCCTCATATGTCACTGTGAAGTTTATAAGACATAAATTTAAGCTCGTGGCACATTGTCTCTTTCTCCTTCAGTCACCCCAAGAAAGTTACGAGACTCTTCATTCTTCATGTTGTGGATTTATGATTCTGACTTTAGGAGGTCACATAGAATGACCATTCTAAGCTCCCCATGGACTACACTAATTGCCCTTGTCTGTGACCCTTTCCCGTGTCTCAATGTCCTTCAGGTTCATTCGCACTGATGCTTACGTACGGGCAATGACTGAGAAAAGGATCGTCATAACAGAATTTGGCACCTGTGCTTTCCCAGACCCCTGCAAGAATATATTTTCCAGGTTACTGAAACCCAACTGCATGTTATTAAAGACATTTTACATTAGCCCTTTTTCTCTCATGGCTTGAAAGTTACTGGACTGAAAAATCCATTTGCTTCTGCAGGTTTTTTTCTTACTTTCGAGGAGTGGAGGTTACTGACAATGCCCTTGTTAATATCTACCCAGTGGGGGAAGATTACTATGCCTGCACAGAGACCAACTTCATTACAAAGATTAATCCCGAAACCTTGGAGACAATTAAGCAGGTAGGACACAGTGCTCAGACTATATAGCTCAGGGAATTTAGAGTTTGCAACTTAGAATTAAATCAGCTGTGCATTTGGGTTTGAAGAATTTGAGAGCCAGAGAGATTAAGTTTCAAATCCCTGCTTTGTCATCAACTACTAGCAATGTGACATAGGGCAAACTTTGTTTCTCCATCTGTGAAATTTTAAACATTTATTATGTGGATTGGAGGAAAACCGTATAAAATGCCTAACATATTTATTTGTGACACAAATATTTATTGAGTCCCTTCCATGTACCAGAACTTATGCTAGATGCAAAAGATATACCAGTGAGTAAGACAACATCGTCCCTGCTCTTCATGGTTTTTATAGACTAGCATGGAACTGGCACATTTAATATTGAAAACCCTACCATTCATTGTTCTAGGAAAGTGTGTTGTACCAACTTGCCCCTTCTTATAGACACTTCTTGTTAGAAATAAAGCTATATCTTAAATGAAAAAGCATAGAGAAACATGTCAGCAGTATTAAAAAGTGATAAATTTTGATGAGAACTTAGGCAATCTTGGTGCAGCATTTGATAAGATAGATCTACATTTTCAACCAATATTTATTAAGATGTAACTATTTGCAAGGCATTGTTCTTGTCTTCAGAAAGCTTAACACCTAGGTGGAGAAATCAAATGAATACATTACTTAACTATAATAGGACACAGAATGTGAGGACTCTTTTCACAGAGGGAAAACCTTCTATGAAAGAACAAAGATTGCTTCTGGCAGTAGTTGGTGGATGTGAAGTGGGGCAGATCAAGGAAGGTTTAAAAGTCTTGCACTTGAGTTAGAAGTTAAAGGGAAGGCACAACTTCATTGATTTTGGAGAAAGAACATTTCATATACAGGGAGTACCATGATCAGCTGTATAGAGGTGGGAAACTGGAGGATAAAGAATAATTTATTTGGCTAGATTTGCAGTATTTCTCAATGGAGGTGGCAGTGGCGTTGGGCCGGTGGTACTTCATCATTGTGGGGACTGTCCCACCCACTGCAGAGGTTTGGTATCCCTGATTCCACCTACTAAACACCAGACATGTCCTCAATCATTGTACAAACTCCAAATGCTCACCAACATTTCCAACTCTCCCCCTAGGGGGCAATAGCACTCCCAGGTGAGAACTACTGATCTAAAGCATGCCACGTCAAGGGGAATAGTGAAACACAGGGTAGGGTGAAACTAGAAGTTTGAATAATGGACAAAAATTTGGAATAAGTCATTTAGCTGATGGGAAGCTACTCAAAGTTTTTGTTCAGGGAAGTGGTATAAGCAGAGCTGTACTTTAGGTTATTTAATCTGGAAGCCACGTGTAAGCTGTATGGGAGGACAAAAGAGATAAGGGATAGCTAGGAGACCAGTTAAGTGGAATTGAAGACCAGAACTAGATATTCAGTGTAGTAGGAATAGAAAGGAAAAGGAGTCCCAACAATGGGTCTCAATATCACAAGCTGATTTATAATCCCCAACAGACTATTTACTAAGGCTTAACATATTCTCGATAGCTCTTTCTTAGTTTAGATGTATGTTTGAAACCACATATGAGTGTATGTGTAGATCATTTAGAGAAATACTGAAGCTGAGTTTCTAAACCATCCATTTGACTTTGACAGTGAATCCAATTACCATAGTAATTTAATTGGAAGTGTGAAGTTCATGGTATGGCTCCAGAATAGACTTTATTAGGAGTCAGGTTTCATTGTGAGCAGCACTATACCCTGACTTCGTATAAAAATGTAGTTTTAAAATTTTGAGTGTTTTTTTGTTGGTTTACTATTACTGAAATAGACTCCTAACAAGTTCCTTTGCCTCCAGCCCGATTCCCTTAAATACAGCTTCCTTAATTCAGTAGAAGCAATTTTCTTTTCTAAAATGCAAGTATAAATGTGTTATTCCAATTAGTGCACCCATAGTTTCCAAGATAAAGTTAAAAGCACAGACCTTTGTGGCTGGCCCATTTTATTTCTCCTCTTCCATGTGTGTGTATCACCACAGCCATGCTGAATGACTAGTAATCCCCAAGCAGCATTCACTTTTTGCGACTCTATGCCTTTACATTAGGGTTCCTACTCCCTAGAACACACTGTCATCCTTCTCCATCTGGTAAATTTTACTCATCTTTCAAGCATGTGTTGGAGTCATTGCCCTTGGGAAGCCCTGCCTAATCCCCTAGTCTGGGTTAGATGGTCTTTCTTCACAGATATCATTTTGCACCTACTACTGTATACCAGCTTATTGGTCTAATACAGTGCTATTAAATGGAACTTTCTACAACGATGGAAATGTTCTATGTCTTCATTGTCCAAGTGCTATTGAGCACTTGAATGTGGCTACTGTGACTGAGGAACTGAATTTGAAGTTCTATCTAATTATGGTTAACTTACATTTAAATTGCTATATGTGGCTACCATAGTGGACAGTGCAAATCTAGACTGAAGTTCTTGAAAACAAGGGCCATCTCTGTTTTCCTAGACCCTGACACAGCACCTGGCATATAATAGAAGCTCAAGGAATACTTGATGAATGACTGAATGACTGAATGAATGTCTTGCCTTTTATTTAAATGAGGGTGCTAAAAACTCCCTATACTTTAAAACATACTCTCCTAATCACATAGAAAGAATTTTGGTTAGACAAATATATACTCCATCGATTATTCATTCAATAAATCTTTATTGAGCAGGTTCCAGGTAGAAATTCTAGTGCTCTACATCCTTAGATAAATCATTTGATCTCTCTGACACCTCAAGTTCTTCTTATGTAAACTGAGAGGTTTGTGGTAGATTAGTGGTTTTGAATTTTTTATGAGAATCCAAAACGAATTAAAGCACTGAATCCTATCTTCAAAAAGTTTCCATTAACTCCAGGAATTCATGGTTCCCCTGAAGTCTATTTGGGTTAAGACTTTCTATACTAGATGAATCCTGAAGTTCCTTTCAGTTCCAAATTCATTCTGTATGTAAGATACTGGATTTGGTATTCAGGTTGTATCATAAAAAATTGCCATTTTTATAAAATGAAAATTATTGACTATCAGCATACAATTCAATGTAATTCAATAAGGAGAATGTAAAGAAGTTTCAGGATTCAAATTCGTCACTGTTTGAAGACAAACTGCATGTGCAAAAGGAAAGTAACCAACCAGAGTAATATATGGCCTACATCAATTGAAAAGCTCAATCAGGGAGAACTTGAAGATTTCAGAGGCATGAGGGGTCAGCATGGGGGTCAGAGGAGAGCTCAGAGCTAAAGATGGGACTTCTACAGATTTAAAAGAGGGTAAGACCCAGAGAGATGGAAAGAAAGAGAAAGCACACTTAGGGTGAGGGTGCAAGTGGTAACGGTGAGGTCAGACTGAGGAACCAAAGGTGTAATACGATCTTCCTCTTAACATGGGTGACGTTTGTTCTCCTTCCATAGGTTGATCTTTGCAACTATGTCTCGGTCAATGGAGCCACTGCTCACCCCCACATTGAAAATGATGGGACTGTTTACAATATTGGTAATTGCTTTGGGAAAAATTTTTCAATTGCCTACAATATTGTAAAGATCCCTCCACTACAAGCAGGTCAGTTTACCACTTTGACTCTTCTTAAAACAAGTATCTAGGGGCTTCCCTGGTGGCACAGTGGTTGAGAGTCCGCCTGCTGATGCAGGGGACACGGGTTCGTGCCCCGGTCCGGGAAGATCCCACATGCCGCGGAGTGGCTGGGCCTGTGAGCCATGGTCGCTGAGCCTGCACGTCCGGAGCCTGTGCTCCGCAATGGGAGAGGCCACAACAGTGAGAGGCCCGTGTATCGCAAAAAAAAAAAAAAAAAAAAAAAAACAAGTATCTGTAACATGAGAAAGTTACTGGAAATACAGGGTGTCAGATCAGAAATATCAGGCTAGCACTATATGGACAGTTAAATTACTCTCAGATTTTAGGACAACTGCCCCTCACTCTTACCCTACCAGGGGACCAATGCCAAAAAGCACCATAGCAGGAAATGACATCTTCAAAAATAAAGTTTCCGTGTTCTATTCTACAGTGTTTCAAAGGTGTAGTGTATATGTGACTTTGATCATATAAGATTTAGATTCGAATCCAGCAAATATTTATTGAGCACTTATCCATGTGCCAGACAAAATTAAGATTTTAAACAAACATGTGTATGTGTAATAGGATACACACATGTATATGAAAGTGTAGTAAGTATTTTGTGTGTATTTAATTCCCAAAACTAAAAACATAACTTTTTAACTCATATACTATAGAGAAAGAATATTAAAACAGAAGAGAGTACTCTTTAGAATTCTCCATTCATCCTCCATTCATTGCCAGAAATTTGATAATGATCTTGATAATAGAATTATTTGAGTATATATGGATTTTTACATACAAATCTTGAGCCCCACCTGAGGTAGACTGAATGAGTAATTCTAGGGGTGAGCCCATAGTCAGTATTTTCAGAAGCTTTTTACGTGGTTCTTATATACACTAAGGTTTGAAGACACTGCCTTAGTAGTAAATAAACTTTAATGTGCTTAAGAATTATTGTAAAGGGCTATGGACCCAAAACACATATGCCATAACTTTATAGATAACTTAAGAGATTGTAAAAGGCACTTTGACCATACTAAAATTTTGCCTTACTCCCTTGACTTAGAATCCACCTCCAGATGTAAGATGTGACTCCACTGTACCCTGTCTGCCACACAATGTTTGAGTATACTTTCCAAATCTGCTGCTATTTGGATTTTCCTGGGTGATTGCAGCTCCGCGTGAAATTTCTCTAAGAAATGCCAGTGACTGAGAAAATGGAAATAAACTCTTTAAAAAATCAAGATCTGAAAATGTATTTCTTTGCTTGCATAAGCTGTTCTAAATGCTTTGTATTTAAAAAAAAAAAAAAAAAGAGGCTGTTCCATAGCCTTTTGAAACCACTTTATTTCAGACAAGGAAGATCCAATAAGCAAGTCAGAGATCGTTGTACAATTCCCCTGCAGTGACCGATTCAAGCCATCTTATGTACATAGGTAACTTGAAGGCCTGCTATGAATCTTCAGGAAAACTCAGGTTTAAAGATCTGCTTTGCCTACCTTTGATACCAATCCTGATCATGACATTTTCTTGCAGAAACCTAAATTTAAATGTAGTTAATTTCATGTAGGCACTGTTGATTCATATAACTGAGTATACCTCATGTGTACATATTTCTCTGTGGTTTGAGAATCAACCCTTCCCACTCACAAGTTTATTTCTGTTTCTGAACAGTTTTGGTTTGACTCCCAACTATATTGTTTTTGTGGAGACACCAGTCAAAATTAACCTGTTCAAGTTCCTTTCTTCATGGAGTCTTTGGGGAGCCAACTACATGGATTGTTTTGAGTCCAATGAAACCATGGGGGTAAGTCTTACATTTATTTGTCAGCTTTATGGTTCTGAAGAATATGTCTTTCATAATGCACACTTTTTTTTCTTTCTAAATGCATCAAAATATTCTCTTCACTTTTCAAGGTTTGGCTTCATATTGCTGACAAGAAACGAAAAAAGTATATCAATAATAAATACAGGACATCTCCTTTTAACCTCTTCCATCACATCAATACCTATGAAGACAGTGAGTTTCTGGTTGTGGATCTCTGTTGCTGGAAAGGGTAAGAAAGAACATTGGATAAATGTTACATCTCCAGTTGTTCCTGGAAATTAGGGTTTCTTTCGGAGATGCCACTCTCAATATTTAATCTGAATTACATCTAAAAAAGCAAGAAGAATGCTTAAGTCACAAAATATGATTGAAAAGGCTGTAGGGAGTTTAGATAATCAGAAACACTAACCGAACCTCAAAACTATGGTTAATGATTGAAAACTGATCAGGTCCATGAACCAGACCTGAAAATAAAAGATTCTGTGACTTGATGAGTAAACTTAAGCTTAATTTCACTCAAACTTAACAAGATCCTTTGGGTAGCCTAGAACTCCACCTAGTCTGGGTTTGGGAAAAAGAGATATGCTTTCTTCAAAACAGCAGGTCACTAAGAAAGACAGTAGTCCCTGAAGACACAGGCAGAATGGTGATAGAGAAACAGAGCAGAACGTTTTAAAGGCTGTTGTTATTTGAACATATCCATGAGCAGGATTCTTTTCTCCACCCAGAGTGGGCAGGAGAAATGGCTCCAGGATTCCTGAGTCTTTAGCAGGTTCTGGGTTGGGGTCTGAAGAATAGGGAGGCACTTGTGCTTTTAAAAGGCATGAAGCATGTCTCTAAATTATTTGTAATTGGCTGTCCTCATGTTTGACTTCTTATTTTTGCAGATTTGAATTTGTTTATAATTACTTATATTTAGCCAATTTACGTGAGAACTGGGAAGAGGTGAAAAGAAACGCCAGAAAGGCTCCCCAGCCTGAAGTTAGGAGATATGTACTTCCTTTGAATACTGACAAGGTAACCACCCTCTACATAGATTTCAGATATAACCAGAATGTTTCATCTCACTAAGGATTTTTTCTCCTGCTGTGTGTTTATACATAAAGTCTTGAAATTTCAGAGCTGGAAGGAACTTTAAAAATTAATTCCACTTCCCTCATTTTATAAGCTAGGAAACTGAAGCTCAGAAGAGTCACATGACTTAGCAAAATCCAACTGTGGTGGAGTCAAAACGAAAACGAGGTTTTGACTCTAAACCTGTTGTTCTTCTATTTACAAAATCCTTTCAAAGTGATTGCAATACAACTGGTTAGAACATAAGCAAAAACAGTGGAATAAGTGGGCAAAAAAGCTTAAAAAAAAAGTAGGTTGGCAGTCTTTGAAGGCTTTCAGGTCAAAAGGTTTGTGCTTTATTTGACAGGTGATGGGGAGATAGTCAAGGTTTTGAACAGAAGAAAGCCATATTCAGAGCTGGTGGACTGGGTATCAAGCGTACTGACTACTCTAGTTGTCCCTGCTACTAAATGTCCAGCTTCCCTGAGCAAGTCACTCAGTGAGCAAGTTCCCCTACAGTTCGGTTGCCTGCTCAGAAACCTAAGTAAATTGGACTAAATAATAACTAAGGTTATTTGCAGCTTAGATTTTCTAAAATAAGGCTGTGTTGTGTGTAAGTAGTATTGGAAGTAAAGAAAGGATGATGATAAGGGACCTGGGATTGGAGACAATGAAAATCACTCAGGTGATAGAAAAATGTAGTGGTAGTAGGAACAGACAAACCGACAAAAGTGAGAGTTCCTACAGGTAGAATTAAAAGGATCTTACATTTGATTGGATGGTAGAATGAATTAAGTCTTATACATGCAAAAGACCATAGAGATCCTTTAAGCCTATGTGTCTAGAGTGTTGATACCTTTGGAAATAGGAAATGTAATAATAGGCAGAGCAGGTTTGGAGATAAACCTGAATTGTAGAACTATGAGGAAGTGGGGAGAATGAGTAAAAGGGCTGACTTCAAGACAGACCCAGGTTGACCAGGGCTTCCAGCATTCTAGCTGTTTGATTCGCGGCAAGACATTTAACCTTTTTAAATCCCCTTTTCTTTATCTATATCCACCATACAGGATTTTTGTGATCAATAAACAAGGTGACATATGTCAATCACTGAATATAGTCCCTCACACAAAGTAAGTGTTAAATAATATTGATTATAATCATCATCAACAGCAAAATCAGCATCAACAACATTTTCGTGAAGACGTCTTGTAGGCTTTCATATGGAAGTGCAGGTCCTTGCGACACAAAGTAGGGTCAGAAGAAAAGAGCTGATAGTTATTGGAATTGAAATGATGATCAAATATATGAAGACAGATAAGATTGCTAGCAGGAAAAATTCATACTTTAGAGTGTTTTAAAAGAAACATACAAATTTGTTTATTTTAAAAATGATGAACTTGATAGCCATAACATGCTGAAAGAAAAGAAAAGATGGCCAAGCACAAAAGTTGGGGAAACATCCATGTGCAGAAAGTGGTAAGAAAAGAGGAGTCAGAAAAAGAAAGAGAAAAACATCACCAAAGGGCCTTAGTTACAGCTAAGAGAGGATAATGCCACATGATAAGGCAAGAGAAGGGTTTCACTGGTGCCCACTGCTATATATAGACAAGTTGAAAAGAATGAAGATGAAGAGCAAGAAACCAGATTTAGTGATCTCCAGGGGAGGAGGGAGGGAGGCAGAAATCAGGTTTCAAGGCAATAAAGGTGAGCAATTGATGAGAATGTGGGAGCAATTACTATAGCCTGCACTTTTAAAAGTTTGGCAATGAAGAGAAAAATAAGTCATAAATTAGGGAAATAAGAGATAAACGGATTGAAGGAAGGAGAGGAAAGAGTATGAGTGAAGTTTCCAGTTTAGTGATTAATATAACAGTGATATCTTTAAAATATACCCTTATTATTTTTGAATAGGCAGTGAATTTAAATGGTCAAAAAACTCAAAATGATCTAAAAAGTTACACACTGGAAGTGTCGCTCCAACCTCTCTCTGCCTCCATTCCATACCATTCCCCTTCACTTCTGTGTGTAACTTTTAATGTCTTTCCTTTTCCTTTGTTTATGCAAATATAAGAAAATATAAATATATATAATTATTATTTCCCATTTTTACACAAAAAGTAACTTTCTATATCCACATTTTTGTTCCTTGCTTCTTTTCATTTTAAAATATATATTGAAGATCTTGCTTTCTTCAACTGCACGGTATTCTTTTTTGTGAACATACCCAAGTCCCTCACTGCTGAGCAACAGAGTTGTTTCCATTCTTTGGCTGTTACAGATAATGTCACAGGAATAACTTTGTATGTATGTTATTTTATATATGTGCAGATATAGCAATAGGATAGACTCTCAGAAGTGAAATTGCTGGGTCAGGGGATAAATGCATGTGTTAAAAAAATAGTGAGGGGGAAGAGTGAAAATAAGGAGCTAGTTTGGAAAGCAAAGATAATGTTACACATCTCTTACATTAAAAACCCTAATTTAATGGTGGAAAATATAAGATACAACAGAGTAAAATCATTAAAGTTACAGTCGCATAAGTAATGTGTTCGACATCAACATTTGAACTTACTGAATACATGTATAAATATGTATGTATGCACACATGCCGCTCTCTCCTTCCCAAAATCACCATGAAGTGCCTCGAGGCCCCACTTCACAGAATCTCACAAGACCCATCCTCACCTCCCATCTCTTCCCAATCCTGAAAATCTTTCACTATTTCCTTTTAATTCATTGTACATACCAGAAAAATTCCATCTATCCTCTGCTCAGAAGGTTCCTTCCACCTTCTTTCTTTTACCAAAAAATCTGACACTCTCTCTAGGACACTGGTCTCTTCAGCAGCAATTTCCAGGGGTAGCAGTTTCTCCTCCTACAGCGCTTGTACCACTGGGCCTGGGGTTGTGGTACACTTGTTCCACTTTGCTGCTTCCAGACCATTGCTCCTTCCACCCACCCTTAAAATCTTCCAATTTCAAATCTCACTTCAGCTAAGTATATAGCCAAGTGGTATGTCTACATTTACATATATACACCACTCATTATTATTCTCACCAATTAACCACCACTCCTTCTCCCTTCTGGCTCAGTGTCACACTCCCCTGATCTACTCCTGACTCTCAGTTATTTCAAAATACACATCATAAGTGACTCTTCCAACAACTGGTCTCTCAGTTCCATGACGTCTTCCACTGATTTTGTCTTCCATTCTATCTCAGCCACTCACTCCCCACAGTCATGCAATTGACCTTGCCATTACCTTTGACTGTGCTTCTACCATAACCTTGGTTTCATGCATGACACATTCTGACTACCACCTATTATCTTTCAAGATTACTTGCCCCATTGCAGTTCCCACCAGGAACCTCCAATCTATTGAACCTATTACCTTCTCATCATCTCTCACTCCCTTGAGGACTTACCTTCCCTCCTTATTCAATAACAATTTCATGGTTAATCATTGTAATCACCCCCTTGAGTAGATCTTCATTTCTCTTCCCTCTTTCTTACTTTATAGAACTTATTTGTCAAAATCATAATCCTAGTTAAATTCAACCCTCCACCCACTCCATGCTTGTACCTCTAAGGCTGAAATTAAGTGCTAAAAACACACAATTGTGTTAATGGGCCCATTTTTAAGTACATGACAACAAACCTTACTGCTACATTTCCCAACTTCACTTTCCTAGTTAAATATTTCACACCCTCCTCTCTTCAACCTTCTAACACCTCCCACCTCCACACTCATACTCAACTGATGGCTCTGCTTCCTATTTTACTGAAACAAATGAAAGAAATCAGAAAAGAACGTAGACTCCTGCCACCACATCTACCCACCCACCAGCATCTGTACTCATACTGAATTATCCATCATCCTATTCAGAACTAGTCTTTCCCATCCTTCCTCACCCTCTCCAGGACAACACTCTACAATTCTCCCCCTCTCTCATATATCTCACTCTCCTCCTGTTTTCATTAAATCATGCATATCATGCTATTATTTTGCCCTCTTACAAAATCCTTCTTTTAACTCTTCTTGCCCCCACCACCTATCCCCTCATTCCTCTCTTGAAGACCCCTTTATGTTGGAGGGCACCAGAACTCAGCCCTTTGTTCTATCTTCTATCTGTACGTTCACTCCCTTTGTAAAGACTCATGCTTTAAAGCAGCCTAGAATTTCACTTCCAACTTTCCTTTTAACTCAAGGTTCTTATATGCTACTGCCAATGCCATGTCTTTATTTTGATGTCCAATAAACACTTCAAGTTTAATAAGACAAAACCTAAACTTCTCCTCTTCCCCTACCAAAAATTACCTTCAGTAATCCCCATCTTTGCTGTGACAACTCCAACTTTTAATTATTCGGGCCAAAAACCTTGAAGCCCTCCTTACTCCTTTCTCAGTTTCATGCCTCTTCCCCACCCCATATCTTAACTATCAGGAAATCCTCTTGGCTCTACCTTGCTCTCCTCACTGACTTCAATGCTACTAGCCTAGTCTGAACCATTGTTTTCTTTTGACTGGACTACTACAAGACAAACTGGTTTCCCTGATTTCACTCTTTCATCTCCCCTTTTTTTTTTTTTTAATTTACATGTATTTTATTTATTTATTTATTTTTGTATCTCTCACATATATATATATATATATATATATTTTTTTTTTTTTTATATAGCAGGTTCTTATTAGTCATCCATTTTATACACATCAGTGTATACATGTCAATCTCAATCTCCCAGTTCATCACACCACCACCCCCACCTGCCGCTGCTTTGGTGGTTTGGTGATTTGCTGCTTGGTGTCCATACATTTGTTCTCTACTTCTGTGTCTCAATTTCTGCCCTGCAAACCGGTTCATCTGTACCATTTTCTAGGTTCCACATATATGCGTTAATATACGATATTTGTTTTTCTCTTTCTGACTTAACTTCACTCTGTATGACAGTCTCTAGATCCATCCACGTCTCTACAAATGACCCAATTTCATTCCTTTTTATGGCTGAGTAATATTCCATTGTATATGTATACTACATCTTCTTTATCCATTCGTCTGTTGATGGGCATTTAGGTTGCTTCCGTGTCCTGGCTATTGTAAATAGTGCTGCAATGAACATTGGGGTGTATGTGTCTTTTTGAATTATGGTTTCTTCTGGGTATATGCCCAGTAGTGGGATTGCTGGGTCATATGGTAATTCTATTTTTAGCTTTTTAAGGAACCTCCATACTGTTCTCCAAAGTGGCTGTATCAATTTACATTCCCACCAACAGTGCAAGAGGGTTCCCTTTTCTCCACACCCTCTCCAGCATCTGTTGTTTGTAGATTTTCTGATGATGCCCATTCTAACTGGTGTAAGGTGACACCTCATTGTAGTTTTGATTTGCATTTCTCTAATAATTAGGGATGTTGAGCAGCTTTTCTTGTGCTTCTTGGCCATCTGTATGTCTTCTTTGGAGAAATGTCTATTCAGGTCTTCTGCCCATTTTTGGATTGGGTTGTTTGTTTTTTTAATATTGAGCTGCAAAAGTGATCTCGACAGAGCAGTCAGGGTGATTCTTTTAAAAATAAATCAGAGCCTGCCACTGCTCTGCTCAGAACCCTCCAATGACTTCCCACCTCTCACTCACAGAAAAAGACCAAGACCTCACAATGACCTATCAGTCATTACCCTTCCACTGTCCTCTCCTGTTCTTCTCCCCAAGCTCAGTCAGTGCAGCCACACTGGTCTCTTTAACGTTCTCCAAGGACCTTTGGCGTACTCCTACCTCAGGCCTTTGTAGTTTGTTCTCTCTGCTCAAATGCTCTTCCCCAGATACCTGCATTGCTAGCTTCCTTCATCTCCTACAAGTTTTATCCCAAATTTCACCTTTTCAATGAGGCTCACCCTGACCACCTACTAAAATTACAACTCACCTACTCTTCACATTTCTGATTCTCCTTACTCTGCTCTATTCTTTTTCCTCACATTCATGATGTACAAAACACTTTGTCTATTAATTATATTTATATTGTTTATGTTCCCAAATTAGAATGAAAACTTCATGATGACAGGGACTCTGTTCTCTGAAATATCCCAAATGCCTAGAATAGAGTCCATCACAAAACATGTATTTAAGTATTTGATTACTAAATGAATTACTAAATGAATTACTAAATGAATTACTAAATGAATTACTAAATGAATTACTAAATGAATATGTTCTTTGAAAGAGCTCATGATATTCATTCCTTTCATAAAATAATCTGAAAAATCACATGGGAGCAATGTGGGTGACAAGAGATCTTAGAAAACATCTGGTCAGTAGTTTCTTAATTTGTTTTCTTTTTTGACAACTTACGAGTATGATTTTGTTTTCAAATAAAATAAAAATATAGCCTAACTATAAAGGAGACAAACACTGTATGGATACCTAGAGGTTGAAGTCTTTGTTGTTCTGCAGAAAAATACTTCTTTTTCCAGAGCCCATCCTCAGAGCTGTAAATTTTCTTCGAGGTCAGTCTCATTTCACTGATGAGAAGACTGAGGGCCTATGAAGTTGTATGACTTTCCCAGTGACACACAGCCAGTGACTGATGTGGACACAGACAGCTTTCCCAGTCATGTTCCTGGGCTCCCCTTTCTAGAGTTTTCTGCACTGCCTCTCCCTACATGTTGACTTAAGAAATGAAGAACGCAGGAGACAAAACTTGGGAAGACTATATTTATGGCTGCTTGATTTTTCTTTCCTGATCACTGAGGTTTCTGTTATCCTCTTTCTTAGGCTGACACAGGCAAGAATTTAGTCACACTCCCCAACACAACTGCCACTGCAATTCTGTGCAGTGATGAGACCATCTGGCTGGAACCTGAAGTTCTCTTTTCAGGGCCTCGCCAAGGTGAGATGATTTAGGAAAAAACCTCACATGAGAGAGAACAAAATGTTCCATTCAAAGAGATTAATGAGTTTTCCTAAGCACGTGCTCTACTTTGCAGCATTTGAATTTCCTCAAATCAACTACCAGAAGTATGGTGGGAAACCTTACACATACGCATATGGACTTGGCTTGAATCACTTTGTTCCAGACAGGGTAATTAATCCATCTTCCTAATATTCAAACAGTACTTTGAGTCACATGCTAGTCAAGTAGAGCATATTGACTGATTGACTGACTGATTGATTGACTTTTCTTTCTTACAAGCAGCTCTGTAAGCTGAACGTCAAAACTAAAGAAACTTGGGTATGGCAAGAGCCTGATTCATACCCCTCAGAACCCATCTTTGTTTCTCACCCAGACGCCTTGGAGGAAGATGACGGTAATGAAAGTAATAGATGTGTCTGAACACTCTCTTTTCATTGCAGTTCATATAGTTAGTTAATTAGGAGAGGAGTTATGTTGATTATTCCCTAATGTTCAGAAATAATCCTTTATACTATTGAATGGGACAGCACTAAAGAATTTAAACTTATTTGAGAATAAGTTTTATCTTATGGTCAGGTTTCATTTGGTACTGTTGGAAAAATGCTAAAGCACCATCTGGTGTCACGATGGAACATCAATGTCTGCTCTAGATGAAGGAGAGGAGGAAGAAGGAGCAGTATGCGGTCTAGGTTTTTGCCTTTCCTGACCTACATACATTTCTGAAAAGGGATAGAGTTCTAAGGAGGGAAACTGAGTATTCTAACAGATCCAAGAGAATGAGGATGAGGCTTTGTGTTTCTAGTTTTGGTTTTTCCTTTCAGTAAGCTGGGGCTAGAAAGGGATCCAGAGCAACAGCCTATAAAACAGCAACTCAGTTACAAAGAGTCATCTTAGTTAACTATTGATTATCCGGGACAAGGAGGTAGGTTATCCTCTCTGGGATTAAAATATGGAAAACCACAGAGAAATGAATAAAATAAAGAGTTGTAGAGCCGTTTTACACTAAGTGATTATACATATACAGCCTTTCCAGTCAAAACCGCAAAAAGTTTGTTCTTATTTTGTTTGAAGGAAGTAAGCTTCCAGCTAGGTCTTGGAAATTATAGAAATAATATACCTTACCATTTTCAAAGTCTTTTTTTTTTTGGCCACACCGCTCAGCTTGCGGGATCCTAGTTACCCGACCAGGGATCGAATCCGCTTCCTCAGCAGTGAAAGCGCGGAGTCCTAACAACTGAACCACCAGGGAATTCCCAGAGTCTTTTAATATACATTTTTCACTTGATTGTCACAACATTTTTTTTTTTTGCAGTAGGTAGAACAGGTGTTAAATCGTATGATACAGATACAAACACAGAATCATTCATTAAATAAGAATTTAATGAATACTTACTATGTTCTAATCATTGCAGTAGGCTATTGGGATACAACAGTGGGCAAGAGAGATAGGGTCACTCCCTTCTTAGAGCTTATAGTCCAGGGGACATGAAAAATTTTAAATCCCTTTCAGGGTTACCACACAGCCAGGTGGTAGAAGAGTCAGAGCAAGATATCAAGGCATCTGGTTTTCTTTATTTGTCAATGTAATGCTTCCTTGCTTCCTGTATTATTTCAGTGACACTTAATCTATTGCTATGGGCTTTTTTTTTTTAATTCAACATTGCCTTATTAACTTCTGATTAACAGGTGTAGTTCTGAGTGTGGTGGTGAGCCCTGGGGCAGGTCAAAAGCCCGCTTATCTCCTAATTCTGAATGCCAAGGACCTGAGTGAAGTTGCAAGGGCTGAAGTGGAGATTAACATCCCTGTCACATTTCATGGACTGTTCAAAAAATCCTGAGCACATTCTAGCCTAATATGTTTCTGGTGACAAAACCCAGAACAACATAGTCAGGTCTGCAGTGAAATTCTGTTCAGTTTTAGCCTGCTGTATATGAGTTTTAACTTGCAGATGCACACAATTTTGCAGTGTTTTACAGAACGCACAGAGTTGAGTAAGCAATTCCTTTAAAAAAAAGTGCATATTTAGGTAATCATACTTTCTCTGTGAGACAGACACATCATAACTAAAAACTCTTTATATATTTACAATCAAAGAGCAAATGAATGTGGATTTATTAACCTGTTTTTTATTCCTATTATAAAAGTGTATTTTAGGTACCTATCTGCTCCAATTATTTTTTAACACTTAAAAGCCAGTCCTCTACACCTGATTTGTATGTGGCTTTGCCAAGTCAAAGCAGTATCTTGCAAAAAGGCTTAATTATTAAATGTCAAACCAAACTTTTTCTCAAACCAGGGACTATCACCTAAGACAATCATTGTAATTGTATGCATATATATATTATTGTTCAAAGATTCTCAAGTTTTATAAACTTTAACATTTCCATTTAATATAAGCAATTACTACTATTTCTGATTTTACAATGAGGAAACCTATCTCTAATCCACTGAGGGCTCTCAACCAAATAATTTCTCAGAGATTAAGTTATCTATTAAAAGCTTACATAACATCCAAGCAATTACATATAGTAGTGACTGTAATTTTTTTGAAAAACAGAGCATAAAATACTGGCAAATATAATTTCTGTTTAAAATCAGAGTATGGGGTAATAATATGTGTGTGTGGGGTTATACTTTGTTGCCTCGTCTGCTTAATTATATTTAAGCACTGTGCAATCACCTGAAAGTAAAAAAAGAGAAATATTGTCATTAACTTTCCAATATTAATATATTTTAAGTATTTATGTTTTTAAAATTATTCTCTTCTGAGCTAGATACTGCAAAAAAATGAAGATTGTCAAAAATGTTTATTCTATATCTTAATCCTGGCATCTATTTTATGCTCAAAAGTATTACATATCATTGTATTTAAGATGATCAGCATTGTGTTTGACTAAATAAAAACAGCTTGAAGGAACAGACTGACTAGTGTACTTGATGCAGCCATTTGATTTCTTTATTTAGATAAAATGCAAACTCGTTTTTTAAAATTATAAATACTCATTAAAACATACTTTTCAAAGAAAATCTAAAATTACAAGAAAGTGGAAATTATAAAGTAAAATCATACACAGCTCATCTAAGCTCAACTGCTGGTCTTTTCCATCATTTTTCCCCCTGTGGATTTTTAATGTAATCATTATTTCTTTGTGGGTAATTCCTAGGTAGAGCTAGATATCTCAAAAAATAAAAAGAAAAATGCCAGAAAATAACATGGAATATGTGACTATAGATAAACATCAGTCTGTTATTTTTGTCTCTAGACATGGCACATGAACATAGTTCCACAAAGAAGGCTATTTATCCATTTCTTTTAAAAATGAAGAAAATAAATTACTGAATAATTACTAAGTTTTATACTTAGTTAAGTCTTTAAATTTTAGAGAATCCCCTAAACTGTGACTTCCTACAGTTGCCGATCAGTCCCTGCCTTCTTCCCATTCCTTTTCCATAAGCAAGTCTGGCTATTTGGTGTGCCCACTTCTCCTGTTGCAGGACCCCATTTTGAGCCCTGTGCTCTGTGGAGATCACCACAGTGTTAAGAAGGGAGAGAGGCACATCTGACTAAAACATTCTGACAATACCATTTCACCAAAATTGGAATTGTCTATATAATCATTGCTAATATTATACCAAGAAGGCTTAGGAGCTGTTTTCAATTGCAAAGATGGAATTTGAGCTTTAAAAACTTACATTAGAATAAGGGAGATTTAAGTCAGGCAAGAAGGATTAACTTGGAAAGTCAGATTGAAAAAATTAAGTAACCTGGTTTCTAAGAATCAGAGGTATTCATCTAGGGGAATCTAGAGAATCATGTCCCATCCATAAACAAATAACTCTGTCTTAAGGGGAAAATTCAATTGAATTAAGATAAATAAACCTGCTAATAAGTAGTTATTTTTAAAATAAGTTGTTTGAAGTCAACCTTTTTCCATTTGGGACACCTTACATTTGTCATAGCCAAGGAGAAAGGATAATAACATCTTTGACAATATCAAAAAGTAATTAGTAACTGATAACTGCCTCATGGCAGATAATCTAGATAGAGTTCCTATACTACATGCTAAACCAGAAAAGATAAACGGACAGCAAAGCCAGCCTACCTTCCGACTAGTATTAAGAGAAAATATCCCCTAAAGGATCCCCTAGGGAATGCCAAATCTGGTACAATTCAGTCTCAGTGGAAAAACAGTCTCTGAAAGACAGGAGAAAAGGAAACTTTACTTATTGAGTGCCTTTTACTTTTACAGAAAAGTGGAAATTACTCCTAATACTATACCCACCATGGTACTATAGTCACCATTTTAAAGATTAGGAAAGGGAGGACCAGTTACTTTTCTAATAGTAGCAAAACTTAAACTGAAATCTAAACCTATCATTTCTTCCACTAAAAATTTGGTTTCTGATACTTTCTAAAATATTTCTACTAATTTGAAATTTATTTCAAATACAACCACTATCACACTACTTAGTCATCAAGTCTGGATGCAAATAAAATCTTTGACTGTTCAGTAATTCTCACTATTGATTAGTGGGCCAAATGCTTCTTGAATAATAGTAACCAAGTAACAAGTCTATATTATGCCAGGGATTCCACTAATTAGTCTTTATGTATAGATTTGATGATTCTATTTTGCAGGTGAGGAAAGTGAAGCTCAATAAAATTAAATAACTTGGCCAACTTTCCACACAGGATGAAAATCTGATTCCAAACATCATCTGTATCTGTTGGGCACTGTGAACTACTACCTTGAGGTAGTTCACAATTCCAACATTAGATCACTACATTCCTTTTGATGACATTTTAAAAAACTAGTTTTCCATTGGTTACTGTGAAAATATAAGTACCATGCAAAAATTAATGTGGAATGCAAAATAATAATGACTGTGTCCAATCTGATTCCAAACTTTGAGAAGTTCTGCCATGTCCAAAAGGTACTAGGCTATTAGAACAAATGTATATATTATGTCACTTGGACTTAACTATGTAATAAGCAGAGGTGTTACATATTTCTTTCAGAGTGCCATAAAAAAGTTACTCAGACATTAAAGGCTTTGTGAAGCTAGAATGTTAGAGAATCTCTGTTCAAGACTCTAGTTTTTAACTTAGTAGGTAAATCTCTAACCTCATAGGACCTAGTCTACAGGGTTGTGACTTAAATAACTTCATAAATTCATCCTCAAAACAAGTCATTTTATATCAGTTCCAACATTAAATTTATATCAAAGAGCTTTACTTATTTAAGAAAAAGAAGAAAAACAATCATATCCAATATTTCTATGATTAGTCTGTTTGTGGACATTTCTTGTTCTAATATGTTCATAATATTGTACTAGATGGATGATAAAATAAGTTTAAGAAGCTACCAACAAAAATCTCAAAACTTGTTGTTTCTCAAGTTTCTTTAACTTGGATTCATCCATATACATATCTTCATCTCCTTCCAGAAGGTGAGCAAAGGGGTATCTCCCATTTACAAGAGCAACCCTTGCAATGGGACATAGGACTAAGAATTCAGGCTCAAATGATCTACCACACTAAAAGAAGAAACATTGCCAAGTGTTAGGGAATTATGTGAATAGTGCCTTTGTATTAATGATCAACTAATCCAAGAAGCAATACATTATTGCTGAAGCTATTATAAAGAGAGTTGAATAAGTACTTAAAAACCTAGATGTGAAGGCTAAGCTGATGTGAAATGTACAAGAGACTTAAATATTCTTCATAACCATGACTGGTTATGAGTTACTATTTCAGTGGCATAATAGGAAATAGTACTAGACCTGACTTTGATTTGGGGGAGATATTAAGTACCTAACATAGTGCCTAAAACATAGTAGCTACTCAACAAATGGTAGTTAATATTTTTAATCTGGGGTTTCAAAAACCTTAACAGCTTTCTTTGCTACATGATTTTTCATTAATATTTAAAGTATTTTATGGGAATTCCCTGGTGGCGCAGTGGTTAAGTCCGCCTGCCAATGCAGGGGACACAGGTTTGAGCCCTGGTCCTGGAAGATCCCACATGCCACAGAGCAACTAAGCCCATGCACCACAACTACTGAGCCTGCACTCAGAGCCCGTGAGCCACAACTACTGAGCCCGTGTGCCACAACTACTGAAGCCTGCGAGCCTAGAGCCCATGCTCCACAACAAAAGAAGCCACTGCAATGAGAAGCCCATTCACCACAACGAAGGGTAGCCCCTGCTTGCCACAACTAGAGAAAGCCCGCATGCAACAATGAAGACCCAACACAAACAAAAATTAATTAATCAGTTTTTAATAAAAATAAAATAAAGTATTTTATGATATCCTACATGGGAGAGAATATAAAACAATTCTCAACCTTATACAAGGATAGAGCCATTTTTATTGCCATATATCATGAGACGTATGTTCCAAAAACAAGCTAGAATGCTGATAAACATCCAGTGCTTTTAAATTAAGATGTTAAGTGTAATCACCAGGGCAACCACTAATAAAGTAACTAAAAAAATTACTAAATATTAAAATATACACTAGAAATATTTAACAAAAAAGAACACAAGTGGAGGAAGAAGGAACAAAAAAGACAAAAGATACAGAAAGCAAATGGCAAAATGTCAGACAAAAATCATATCAGCAATTACATTAAATATAAATGGATTAAGCATGCCAATCATAAGGCAGGGATTGGCAGGATGTATTTTTTTAATGATCTAATTATATGTTATCTACAAGCAACACATTTTAGATTAAAAGCCACAAATAGGTTAAAAAAAAGGGATGGAAAAAGATATACTGTGCAAAAAGTAAGCAAAAGAGAACTGAAATGGCTATACTAATATCAGAAGAAATAGACTTTAAGATAAAAATTGTTACTAGAGATAAAGACATTTTATAATGATAAAAGGGTAAATTTATAATGCATAAGGGAATTCTATGAACAACTCTATGCCAATAAATCAGGCAACCTAAATGGAATAGACAAATTTCTAGAAAGACAATAGCAACAAAAATTGACTCAAAAACAAATAGAGGGGCTTCCCTGGTGGCACAGTGGTTGAGAGTCTGCCTGCCAGTGCAGGGGACACAGGTTCAAGCCCTGGTCTCGGGGGATTCCACGTGCCATGGAGCGACTGGGCCCGTGAGCCACAACTACTGCGCGTCTGGAGCATGTGCTCCGCAACAAGAGAGTCCGCGATAGTGAGAGGCCCACGCACCGCGATGAAGAGTGGCCCCTGCTCGCCCCAGCTAGAGAAAGCCCTCGCACAGAGACGAGGACCCAACACAGCCAAAAATAAATTAATTTAAAAAAAAATAGAAAATCTGAATATACCAATAAGAAGTAAAGAGATTGAATTAGTAATTTTAAAACTTCCCCAAAGAAATATCCAGGCCCACACTGCTTCACTCATGAATTGTACCAAACATTTAAAGAAGAATTAATACCAATTATTTGCAGACTTTTTCCAAAAGTGGACATAGAGGAAATACTTCCCAACTCATTCTATGAGGCCAAATTTACCCTGATAACAATATCAGACAAAAAAAATCACAAGAAAAGAAAACCACAGACCAATATCACTTATGAGTTTACATGAAAAATCCTCAATAAAATACTAACAAACCAAATTCAACAATACATAAACAGGACTCTACACTATGACCAAGTGGGTTTCTCCTAGGAATTCAAGAATTAGCTTAATATCCAAAAATTAATATAATGTACCATATTAATGGAACAGCAGACAAAGCCACATGATCATTTCAATAGATGCAGACAAAGCGTTTTGAAAACATTCAACAATCGTTCATTTTAAAAAATGAAGAAAAAAATCACAAATAGAAGGGAACTTCTTCATCCTGATAAAGAGTATCTATGAAAAACCCACAGTTAACATTATACTTTATGATGAAAGATTGAATT